GCAGTGTGTGTGTGTGCGGAGGCAGGAGGAGACTATTTAAAAGCATTACAAAAACCCATTACTTGCCTTCATGAAATCCTTAGAAGCAGATTGGATATGGAGCATGGTCATTTTCCATTGGATAACTTGATATACACATTGCACATGCAGGGCTAAGCTGGGTCCGGAGCAATGGCACTAAGCTGATGGAAATATGGGTACTATTTTCTACCTTAATGTTGCAGCAGATGATTTATATTGGCTCATGGCATTCAAGAACTGCTGTGACTCACTGAAATGAAATGTTGCTCATTTATTTGCAGGCAGCTCCGCGCGGACTCTCCGACTGCTTCAGTAGCCTGGTCCAAGTTGGTAAGATGAAAAAAGACCTACAAACAGTTTCAAAGTTACCTTTAAGACAGTTAAACTGCATTTGATTTACTTTTTCACTGCTTTCACTTCACTACACTACACTAGTATTGATGGGTCCAAAATGGGGGGTTTCGCAGTGATGCTATAGAAGAACCTTTTTAGTGAACATTGAACACCATACGAACGGCGTGGCGCGATGCGATGCAACAAAAGATGGTAGAACCCAATCAGTTTACATTGGACGCACTGCAATGCGACTCAACAGGACAAATTCCCGACAGTAAACTGATGCCCTGTTCTATTTCTGATGTAGGCTACTTCAAACGGCTGCACGATATCTGACACGAAGGACAAATGAAATTACAACAGTCATTTTGTCGCGTCCAATGTAAACAGCTTTAAGCTGTTGCGACGTGAAGCGACAATGGTCGTGGCTCGTGTCCGGTGTAGACGTGTTTGTGTGAAGAACATTTAAAAACTCTAAAGAGCTGTTCTCACTATAAAGAACCTTTTGTGGAATAGAAACGTTCCATGGATGTTAAAGGGGTCATGAACTGCTTTTATTTTGAAAATAAAGTTCATCCACTCTTTCCTAATGCTGTGATCAGAAGGAAGACAATGCAATGCAAAGACTGAGAATCAGTGGGCGGGGCTTAGCAGGCAGTGATGTAGGAGCAGGCGTTGATCTTCTTCTGTGGAGGCGGGGTTTAGCCACATCATTTAAATGTAAAGCAGCAAGCTCATTGGCTGCGTATGCAACATGAACCAAACAGCTTGTGACAAGTCATTTAATGCTAAGAATATCATCAGTTACGTTAAGGACCCATCAGCCTGCGCCGTCTAGAGTTTCATGAAATAACTTGGTATTTATCCTACTCAAACTTGTGTGGTGCGACATTACTGTCAGATCCACATAGTCGGCAGAGCATCGTCTTTAAGTTTCAATCTTTCTGAAAATCATGTTTCGAATTGTGCCTTGTTTGTAAACGAATCCGCGGTAAAATGAAGTGAAC